CTTGGAAGATCCACCCCCCAAAATCATCATTTTAACAGAGGAAAGGAAAAAGCCATATGATCCTGTCACTAGTTGGAGAAGAAGTATTGGACTAAATTCTATAGCTGTTCATGGTAAAAGCTATCAGGAGAGTAGAAATAGAACAGAACCTTCTCAACAGATAAGCCATGCACTCCATACTTCCAGCAAAAACGCCTTATATGGATGGAGAAGATACAATGCTTTCTCCCTAAGGTGGGGAACATGGGCAGATATGCCTACTCTTCATCTGTCTATTAAACTTTGAAACAAAGGCCCACACCAAAATAGTCTGGCAATAAAATGACACCATTAAGATAAGATTGCCAAGGTAGAAGTAAAATCTTTATATGTAGATGAAATGATCATCTACACAGAAAATACTAAGAAATCTCTAGGAGCTCCTAGAACTTGTATTTGAATTTAGTAGGATTAGAAAACACAAAGTATATATAAAAATTCAGGTCTATGTATACTTGCTATAAATGAAGAATTGGATATTGAAATTTAAAAGTTATGTAGGAGTAAAAAGAACCTAGAAAAGTAAAAAGAAAAAAAAGTGTTGGAAGACATTTATTACCTTATTTTAAGACTTCCTATAAAGCCACAGTAATCAAGGCAGTGTTGACATAAGGAAAGACATATAGATCATTGGAATAAAACAGAGAATCTAGAAATAGAACCACACATGTATGGTCTACTGAGTTTCAAAAGATTATTTAACATTAACATTTTATACAACATAAACTCAACTCAAGTACAGAGGAAAAGATAATCTTTTCAGCAAATGGTACTAGAATACCTGTTATCTGTAAGTAAAAAATTAACCTCAATGCTTTATTTCCATACTTAAAAATAACTTGAAAGGATCTATGAACCTAAAAATGAAAGCCTAAAACTATAAAACTTTAAGAAGAAATAATATGGGAAAAAGTTCATGATTTTAGGGTAGGTAAGAATTTCCAAGGATACAAAAATCATGATGTATAAAAGAAAAAAATTGATAAATGAGATTGCATCAAAATTTAGAACTATAAATGACATTGTTAAGAAAATGAAAAGTAGTCCTTTAACAGACCATATTTATAATATATATAACCTATGACCAGAATATATAAAGAACACTTACAGCTCATTAAGAGACAACCCAACTAAAAAGTAGATGCACGAAGATGATAAATAGCCAGTACAGCACAAGGAAAGGTGCAAAACAGTAGAATGAGAAAAATACTAATCAGTACAAGAACAAGATCGTATTATACACTCATTAGGGAGATGAAGTTAAAAGTTTCAAAAGAACAAATGTCAGCTTAGGTGTGAACCAGTTAGAACTTTCTCATACTTCTAATGTGAATGTAAAATGATAAAACCATTTTAGAAAACAATATAGAAATTTCTTGTACTACTGTTAAGAACCAACAGTTCTGTTCTTAAGTTTCTACCTGAGAGGAATGAAAACACATGTTCACAGTAGATTTGTACATACAAGTTGACTATCCCTTATCTGAAATTCTTAGGACCAGAGTGTTTCAGATTTTCATTTGAAATCCACTTGATCTGCAAAGAGGATAGGTACTTCTGGGTTTTTTGGGGGGCGGGGGAGGGGGGTTCCTGTCACATGGAGTATTGTTTTCCACCCTTTAACTTTCTATCTATGAGTTTCTTTTTGCATTAAATGTTTTTCTTGTATGCAGCATATTGTTGGATCTTGCTTCTTGATCCATTTTGCCAGTCTATTTCTTTGGTAAATTGAGACCATTAACATTGATGGTTATAACTTATACATATTGATTTATCATTGTCATGACATTTTCTTTTTGTTGGATTCTCCCCCTTTGAGTTTAATTTCTTGTCACACCAGATGGATTTATTCTGCCAGGCTTCTTGGGATTGTGGTCCACATTGTCTTTTCCTAGGATATTGCCTAAAATTTTGGGGGGTGCTGGTTTGGTATTCATGAAGTTCCTAAGGTGTTCTTTGTCATGAAAGTATGTTGTTTCTCCATCAATTTTCAAAGATAATTTTGCAGGGTACATCAATCTGGGTTGGAGGCTGTTTACCTTTAGGGCTTGAAATACATCACTCCAAGCTCTTCTTGCCTTGAGGGTTTGCATTGAGAAGTCTGCTGTGATTCTGATGGGCTTTCCTTCTAACTGCTTGCAGAATTTTGTTCTTCTGTTGGGTTTCTGGAATCTTAACTATTATATACCTATGTGTAGATTTTTTTTTTTAATCGTGGCTACTTGGAGTCCTATATGCCTCACTTATCTGTATATTAAGTTCTTTTCCCCCACTGGGGAAGCTTTCTGCCATCACTTCTGTGAACAGTTTTTTTTATGTCATCAGCACTCTCTCCTGTTTCTTTATTGTCTCCGATCAGTCTTATGTTATTCTTCTTTGCATCGTCTAGCAGCTGCTGGATTGATTTCTCATGGTCCCTTACAATTTCAAAGAGACTTTTCTTTTCCTGGTCACTAATAGCAATCTTATCTTCTATATCTGAAATTCTGTCCTCACATTGGTTCATTCTACTGCATAGACTTTCAATGGAGCTTTTATCTCCTGGAAATCTGTTTGTATCTGTTTTATGGATTCCATTTGTTTCCTATGTTGGGATTCCATCATGTTCCTCAGCTCCTCTATTTTTTTATCTGTGTCTTCTCTAGATTTATTAATCATGTCTTGCACTATGGGCACAATCTCTGCTGTTATCTGAGAAATTATTTCTGATTTCATTTTTTCCAGATCCTCTTTTGTTGCCAGTTCAGGGAGTCCAGGTGGTTGAATATCAGAGTGTCCCCATTTCCCTTTGGGGTTGTTTTAGGTGATCTGGACTCTGGTTTTGAAACTTGTTTATGTGTCTTCTCATTTTAATGGGGGGGATGGTGGTGGTGGTGGTGGTTGCTGCCGGCTCCCACACAGCTCACCTCCTCTGTGCTGGCGGTGGTGGTACAGCTGCCTGGAAGCCTCCTCATGTTCACTAGGAGTGGCTCACCTCCTCTGTGCTGGTGGGGGTCTCACATGCCACTTTTTGTTTTTTAAAATATACACAAATTTAAAATACTAGTACATTCATGTCACACAGAGACATTCACACATAATGAGATGTGTGCTTAATACCTTTTAATAAGTGACGCAACATCAAAGTATAGAGACATCTACGCTCACCAAATATTCCCACTCATCTTAACTTACCCTTTTCTTCCATATAGAAAATTTGAAGGTTTTACTGACTCTGCGAGTGTGCTCACCACCTGATTGAGTTTTGTTAAGATTTTAAAAACATAAAGATTGTGGTGCTGTGGATTGAACCCAGGACCTCTGCACATCAGGATAATTATTACAAAACATTTGAGGGCTTTTTCCAACATATCTGAATGGGAAGAGTGCTAACTGGGTGCTAGGTACATTTTTCCTCTCATTGCCTCATTTTAGCTTAGAAAGACAAAAACCAAAGGAAATGTTGTATTCTCTGGAATAATAGTAGAAAGTATTTTAGAACAGCCAGGTAACTATTGAGAGAGTTCAAAAAACATACATTTAACCCAACTTTTGGGGAGACCTTCTCCTGGCAGATGGAGATAGAGAAATGAATCATACCTAAATCATATCCCAGAAAAATTCACATACTGGTGGCACCAGAGCAATTATTCCTACCTTTCCTTCAAGGCATTTCTCTTCCTTGGTGCACTAAAATTTTTTTAAGTATTTTTTTTCATTCCACTTCTCCTATCTTTCCATTTTCTTTATTTCTGTATCTTGCTGTCACTTCTTAATGTAGGCTGAAATGGAAATCCAGGAAATGATTGTAGAGGCACATACATTCTGGCCCATACTGCTCCCTTTCTTTGTCCGTAGTGAAAGTTGACCCCACCTCCATGTCTCCACTGGAGATTCCAAGTGACAGTGAGGAAAGTTTAGTTGAGAGTGGATCCTCAGCCTTACAGAGTCTACAAGGACTACAGCAAGAGTGAGTACTTTTGTCTCAAGTCTGTGTGTGTGTGTGTGTGTGTGTGTGTGTGTGTATGTGTACATCTCTTTGCATGCATAGAGATGGGACTAATTATCAGCAACAAAAGGAAAAATTTAAAAATAAGAAAATGTAGATAAACTGTTTTCCTGTACAAGTTTGTGTGGACATATGTGCATATATGTACATATGGTTGAGTTATTTTCTAATTGTAGATCATCAACTTTATCCTTGAAAAATCTTCAAAGTCTTCATAAGTTACAGTTATCTAGTGTTTCTCCATGTAAATGCAAATGTAAATCTCCCTGTAAATGTAAAACAGACTTAACTTCCAATGTTGAAATTAAATGGAAGTATTTGGCTCATGTTTAGCAACCGTGTTGTATGAAACATGCATTTCTTTAACCACAAGCATAGCATTAATTGAAGTGTCATATTCACATTCTTCTGGAACACAATCACTTAGGGTAACATAACCATCTCCCATGCTTTCTAAGGGACCTTCACTTAGTGAACAGAATGGCACAGTTGAGAGAATCATTTACATTATTTCAATTATTTCCTCTTTTGTGGGCTTAGCATTTAGTAACATAAGATAAATATTGATATGAGGAGGTGCCACCATATTCAAGTCAATTTCTTTATCCTTCACTTTAAAGTCATTCTTTGGCCTTATCTCTCTTTCTTTGCTTAGATCAAGAATGATGAGACAAATGCCGAGAGAAGATTCACTTGATTTGAAGAGAAGACGGATTCACCAATGTGACTTTGCAGGATGCAACAAAGTATACACCAAAAGCTCTCACCTGAAAGCTCACCGCAGAGTCCATACAGGTCTGTCAACTACCACCATCTTACCCTCACCACACACACAGATGTCACACACACACACAGAGGGGGTCTCTGAAAACTAGAAAGAGAAGGAAATCTTGAAACAAAGATAGCTTTATTTATACTCAGGTACAGGCTCCATTCATGGTTTTTGCCCTCATGTCTTATTCCTACTAAGACAACTCTTATAAAACCAGCCTAGAAAAACATGAAACCTGGTATCTTTTGAGTAGTCATCATCACTGGTAAATAACTGTAGATCTTTCTAATTGGGAAGCCATAACACTGAAGCAAAAATTAAGGCAGCTAAGACATTTTTCTCTCCTTTAACTCCAAGGTCCCACAGGTTTTGCTGAGTGTGGAGAAGCACAAAAATAATTAAGTGAAATTAAAGCAAATTTTTGAAGTGCAGCAGCATCCAGTAACCTACAATGTACTTTTGTTTACATTAAAAGAAAGATATATATAAATAAGTAAAGCTGATCTGATGAGTATTTTGTCAAAATGGAGGGCACATGCACCATTTAAAGAAAGAGAGCTGCTACACAACTACAGCTGAATATTATGAAATCAATCTTTTTTAAAAATCAGAACATTAAGGTTTTTATGAGAAATATCTTAAATTTTGAATGTTAGCTAGTTCAATTTTTTAATTATACCAGAGATTCAAAGAAACTTGCCTAGAAGCCAGATGCAACTCATCGACCATCATTTTGTGTCTTTGCCTTGATAACTCCTCCTCAGTGAGCTCCAATTTAGAATTAGGACTCAGATACCTTGGTAAAAGAAGAGCCCCTCCTTTATCCTAAAAATCTGTGTGTTATATTTGCTGTGTTAAACTTCATGAAGAAGTTACCAGGGACTTCATGGCTTTGGCTTGAGGGTAAAAACAGGTGATTGATTTTCAGGATGCATCATTGCAACATTCCCATGACACTATTTTTAATTATTGATATTTTTATTGGTCTCCATGCAGATGAGTGCTGATTTCAATGTATATTTAAATACTTAAGGTTAAATTTTCAACATGAGAAAGAAGACTAGTTTACTGTACTTGAATGTACTCATCATCCAACTATAAGAAATATATTAGTACATGGCCAATTTTGTTTTGTCTATACTCCCACTAATTTTCCACTCTCCATTCTATTATTTGGAAGCAAATTCTAAAAATCTTACCATTTTAGTCACAAATACTTCAGAATATAATAACACTTGAAAATAGCCACCATATCATTAGCACACAAAACTGCTTAATACCAAACCTAAAATATCCAATAAATTTTTTAAAAAGTTGTTCAAATCAGTACTAAACAAGAATGATTCATTGAATTTGGTTAATATCTGTTTTAGTTATCTTTTCAATATTTATTTTTCCCTCTTTCAATTTTTCTTTCATTTTATATTATTATTATTATATTGGTACATTTTAGGTATTGAAGAGCCTGAGTCATTTGTCCAGTCCAGTTTAACATTTTTAAAATTTTCTTGATTACATCTTCATTGTGTAAATTTTACATATTTGATGTACCCCAAATTCTTGTAAAAAGATAACTATGTCTGGAAGATTAATCAGATTTAAGTTCAAGTTTTGGCAACAATATATCACAAAGGGTGATGTGTGCTTTCTCCAATTTTTTTGTTTGCTTTTGTTTTTAGTTTTTGAGACTGGGTCTCACTATGTAGTTCAGGCTGCCCTTGAACTCAGTATTTAGCCCAGGCTGCCCTTGAACTCACAAGGATCCTCCTGCTTCAGCCTCCCAATTACTGGGATTACAGGCATGTGCCACCATGCTTGGCTTGTGTACTTTCTATTTCATGACATTAGAAAGCACATGCTATTTGGTTGCCTCTGTGAAGTTGAGATTGGTGAGTTTCAATCCTTGACCTATATTTTCCAGATGGTTATAAAGCTTGAAAGCAGATTTGAAGGTAGTTGAATGGACTCATTTAATGAGAGGCAATGTGGTATAATTTTAGCATACATATATCATAGATTTATCCACATAGTTTGAGTTTAAGATGTCCTTTCCTCAATAAACTCTGTTCTTCTCACATTCTCAAAGACATCAGGTCACACTAGTTCACATATCCCTTTCTAGGTTATAAAATTGTCCTTCTTAAAAGTATTGAGGGAAAAACAATGAACAATGAACTTAGAACAGTTGAGTTCTAATCACAAATCTCTTTACTAAGTCATTGTGTTATCTGACACAAGTTTTCCTATCTCTTTGATCCCAGGTTTCCCCAGCTGTAAATGAGGGGATTGGACTAGGAGATTCCATGTGACTTTTTTAGTCTGGAACCCTATGGCCTGAATTCCAATGTATCCTAGCATTTACCCTTCTAGAAGATCCCAAATATATACAGGTTGGAAATTGCTTTAAAATAGTAAAGGTCTAGCTGTCTTTTCTATGTCATCCCTATATTCTTTTTAGAACTAGTGTGTGTTTGCAATATGTTTGCAATTGTTTCCTTCATTTTGGGGAATTGGTACATGTATATAACTTATCATGATCATTTTCAATTGCTTTACTCGCCAATACACCCTCACACCCACTCTTAACCTCTATTCTTGAATTAACAAGAGATATTATTTACTTTTATTTATGAAATGTGATAAAAACATACAGTGTATGTTTAAAATTTTTTAATGTATTGCAGTAAAAGACACATTGTCATTAATCCTCCTCAGAAGATTTCCTCTCACTTGGAACACATTTACCAATTGTTCTTACTACTTTTTGAAGCAGTTCTAGAAGTCCTCTTTTGTGGATAGACATTGACCTTTCATGGTCAGTTTGAATTTGAGAAGAGCCGGAAGTTCCACAGTGCAAGATCCAGTGAATAAGATACTTGAGAATATACCCTAATGTTTCAATGAGTCCACCCTTTTATGGGATAACAGCAGCACTCACCATGTTTTCTATCACACCTTGTAGAAGATACAAAACAGAAACTGGAGACTGGATAAAGAAAATGTGGCTTTTTAAAAAATAAAATGGAGTACTACTCAGCCATAAAGAATGAGAAATTAGAGACATTTATAGCTAAATGGATCTACATTGAGGCCATACTCTTAGGTGAAATAAATAGGACACACGTGTAAATACTGAATAGTTTCTCTGGTGTTTAAGAAACTGAGAGTGCAAATAAGGATCAAAAGTCATAAGGCCAAAGATTTAGCTCAGTGGCACAGCACCTGCCTTGAAAGCACAAGATCCTGAGTTCGATCCCCGGTACCAAAAAAAACCCAGGCATAATAGATATTGTGAAATAGGAAGAAAAGTTCCAAAGGGGAAGGGGAAGTGGGAGGGATTGGAGAAAGGAAGAAAGAGAATGGAATTAATATGAGAAAATGAAAAAATGGAAACAAAGTCTTTGTAAATGAGGGGGTTGAAGGGAGGGCAGAGGGATGGGGAAAAATAAGAACCAAGATAGATTATGTAAAGGTAAAAATCTCCAATGATGATTATCATTATATTGTATACCTAAAATGTACCAATAAAATCAATAAGAAAGCAACAACAACAATAACAAAACAGAACACCCAAAACTGCTTCAGAAGGTGACAAGAACCATTAGATAAGTGTGTTCAAAGAAGGGGGTATTTTCAGTGGATTAATGGAAAAGTGCTTTTACTGTGATTTTTTTTTTATTTGAACATACATCATATTTTTTATCAGCCATTATAATTCTCATATTTCAGTGCTTTTTCTCCCCATAGTGGTTTCAGATTCTTTTATGAGGGGAGAAAATGAGGCCTAAAATATAGACAGGTCTTAGTTTTCAGTTGTTTAAGTGAATGTCTTATCTAATAAATGATCATGAAAATAGATGCCTGGTGAGTGGTGGCAACTGGTATCCAATTGAATCTTACTTTGTTTAGATTCAGGATTATTCTTATCCTACTCAGTTTTTAGGATTGACTTGAAGTCTTTGCCATGGATATATGATCTCACGGGATAGTCTTGAAGGCATTTCAAAGAAGCAAGTTAACTTGCCTTAACTGCTTGAGTTACAGTAGGGTTAGTCAGTTGGTGGCAATTCTATGTGCAATCCCCTCCTTGGACTATTGTAGTGCCCTAATTGGTCTTCTTACCTTAATTCTTTCCTCACTACAATTCATTTTTCAGACAAGCCAAAATATTTTCATCTTTTTCTTTTTCTTGTTTTATTTAAATGTAAATCAGATCACTTAAGTACTGCAGCTTAAAATAGATCAATACTCTGAATGAAATTCAAAGTCCTAACAATATCCTAAAAGACCTTTGGAATGGGGATTCTGATTACTTTTATTTTATAACACTTATTAAATGTCTTCTGCCCAGGAAATTCTTCCCTAAGCCTATTTTAAGTAGTGCTCTTCTCAGTTATTTACATAAAAACCCTATTTAATTATTTGATAAAAGGAGTGTTTATATTAGGACAATAAGCAATATGAGAAGGAGCCAGCTATGCACAAAGTTTAGAGAAAGTGTTATTAGCTCGACAGTACAATAGCTGAAAGGTGGGAATAAGCTTGCCTTGTTAATAACTGAGAAAAGTCAAGCTTAGCTAGGGCATATTGAGTACAGTGGTGGGTGAGAGAAGTGCTACGGTGCAAGAGTGGAAGAGGGGAGGCCATTTAAGAGGACAATGTAGTGATCAGAGAAAAAATGATGACTCTCTGACTAGGATGCTGTCAGCCGAGGGGGATAGGAGGTATATTGATGACTGAGTAGATTCTGATGATTCTTGGCTTTCTGCTTTGGGTGACTGCATGGATGCAAGTGTCATTTATAGTTGGGAAATTTGCCAACTATAGTGTCTGGGAAAATCTCCTTAAAATGAAACCTTGGTATACAATCTAGGTATTCTTTTCTCTATTGTTAGTATTTCACGGGTTCCTTGGGACAAAGGAAAATGCCTGATGTACTGCCCTCCAATTATTGTACTCCATTGTCAAGGGATACCAGAGAGTGATATCCCTATTTTTGGTATATATTCTTTAACAGATAGCCATGTATCTCTTACTTATCTGGAAAACACCTCTAGTATGCAATGCAGCATTTTGTCTCCTTTAAACTTGCAATCATGCAAAGCAGGAAATACAGATGAAGCAGTTCTCTTTAAGTATACTGTCAAGTCCCAATAGTTTTAAGTAGCACCATCTATTCACCCAGGATCAAAATTTATCACTGATTCCTAGTATTCTTATATTCCCACAGTTATTTTTCTAAAGTTCTATTATTTCTTATTTTGAGTTGATTTTTGAGAGATATAAATGTTTGCTGAAAGTTACTTTACCTCTCATTACCCTGTAAGTGTGAGTAGTAATTGTAAAACATTTAGAATAGTATCTGACATGTAGTAAATACACAGTAAATTTTAGACATGATTAGTATCTGTTCAATTCTAGTCTTTCTCTCAACCCATTAGGATTTTTTTCTTACATTTATTATTGACTTCTATCAATTCAATAAATAATTGACTTCATCACCTACTTTATGTGTCAGTGACATCTTAATCATTGTAATCTGCATTATACATTACGGCCAGATAATTTTCATGTACAACTTTGAGCAAATCATTCTCAAGTTTAAGAAATGTTCAATGGTAACCTAATATACACTCCATTGGCTTCATGAAGTGGTGTACTATGGAAGAGAAAAAGGACAATAGGAGCTGTCTGTCTGGGTGGGGAGGTGGCAGTGACATGTTTTAAAGTTGACATATGAAGATAATGAAATGAAGTAATTTCCAGTCTGTTTTATTATTCTTTAAAAATTTTCTATTGCCAATGCACCTGAATTATAATCTGTACATTGGGCAAACTACTCCCACTGTCCACTTCCCTTTGTTGTATTAGTGCCTAAAATGTTTAAGTCTAAATTATTTTTCTTAACTCAAATTTTTAATCTGGCTTTTATAATATGGATCATTTCATAGTACTTCTGTAAAGATGCCCCATTTGCAAAGGTGGCTAATATTATGTGCCATTTACTGCATTGCCTTACCAGACCTTGCCTCCAATTGATTGGGTTTAATGCCTTCTGCTCTACTCATCTAAACATACCTATGTCTCCATTTCAATATTTTCACACTAGCCCAAAGATCTAGCTATGGACTGTCTTTGTTACACAGTGTATATGTTTATATTGTGAATTACTTTTTTCTGTTTATATGTTTTGTACTTTAATTTAGATGATAAGTTGGTGGAGGTTATGGGTTGTGTCATATGAAGTTAGCTAAAAAAGAAGCTTGTTCAATGACAATAAAAGGTAACTCCATTTTACATAGTAAGATGGATCTCTGCTGAGTTGTTGCAATTTGTATGTTGTACCAAATGAGCCCTAATCACTACAAAGTGTGACTGCTTTACAAATCAGTTTTATTTCATTTATGTGTAATGAAGATAGGAATTCTCAGGAGAAAGTCTTTGAGAGACCATAAAAAATGTATAGATATCAATGTGAGAGTTGTTTGGAGAGAGTATAAAATTATAGATAACAAAAAGTGAAAAATGCCATTTACTCACTCTCTGACACTGAAATTTCATTCTTCCAACTGTTAATATATTTCCGATTAGGCTTTTGGATCTCTCTTTGTCTGGAGTGTGTGTGTGTGTGTGTGTGTGTGTGTGTGTGTGTGTGTGTGTAGTCATTCAGTAGAATTTTCTTATTTGATAATATTTCATTGACCATTTTTTGGTCTCAAAACGTCCAGCTCTATCTCACTCTTAGCAGCTAATGTAGTAATTTCTGAATATTGAAATGACAATATTTAATAACATTAATCATCAAAATTGTTGCCTTGATATGGTCCAAAGATGTGATTTAAGCTGGATTCTGTTCTGCTGTTTATTATATGAAAGTTATACAGTTGATGAAAGCTTGGTAGGATTGACTAATCTCTAGGTGGTCAGAAGTAAGTTGAAAAACAGTAAGTGCAAACCAGGTTACCACTAGATTTTAAAGTAGCAAAAAATTAAATGCCCTGGGAAATTTATGAGAAGGAAGTAGAGCAAGAGCCAAAAGACAGAACATTAGAATACCAATGCATTTTGTGTCTGCATTATTTTTTCTGTTGTAAAATAATATATGCTTGTTGTAGTAGATTGAAAACAGAGAAATATATTAAGAAAACAAATGTGACCCTAATCATATAACACAGATTAAATCAATTAATATTTATTTGTGCTCATACACTTTTCCTTTATTTTAAAATTTTTATATAAAATATAATTTTAAAGCATTCAAACAGTACCAAAAGTTGTAGAAATTTTAAAAAGTCCTGTTAGCACCATTCTTCATCTTCTCTTTGCTGCATGTTAACAATTTCTCTAATAATTTACATTTATGTATATTCATATTGCCTTTATTCTGAATATACAAGTATGGTATATATATTATATATTTTTCTACATATTATATATAGTATATAATATCAACATTATACATAGTATACTATATAGTATATCGTGTACTCTATATATAGAGAGAGACAGAGAGAGAAATATATATACAGAGAGGTCATAAATTGCTAAAGATTTTATACTACTTTTTTCCATTTAGCTTTCTATTTTGAACATATGTATGCCATATATAATGCACATCCAACCTGAAGTTTCTGATCACTGAGTTATTTTTTAAAACTTGGCCTGGCATCTTGCTCCATGCCATTCCATACATTTGAGTTTCTGCCATTACACAGAAAAAGGTCTGTAGCTTTAGCTGGAAGCCCTTTCCACTGAATCACACATTTTTGGTATATGACTCTATTTTAGGCTGTTCTATGGGAAGTATTAGAGAAAAATATATGATTACTACAATGTGGTAGAGTGGAAAAGTGGAAAAATTCTTGGGTTTTGGATCTCAGTTCTATTGCTTGATAACTATTTTTTTAAAAAGAAAAGGTTTTGCTCAACCTTGGGAGATGTTTTTACTGCCCCCCCACCCCAGCAGGTTGAGAAATCAAAGACTAAGCTGTAGAAAAATGATTATTTAAGATCACAAAACTAGTGTGATAGAGCCAGGATTCAAATAAAGGTCTGTTTGAGCCGCAGCATATGTGTTTTTTGTTCTACCATCTTGGCTTCTGCCTTAATTACTTTTCTCATTGCTGAAACAAAATACTTGGCACCCAAAGTTAAAGGAGGAAAGGTTTATTTTTAGCTTACAGTTTGAATCCATAGTTGGCTGGCTCCAAGGCAGGATGGCATGGCAAAGGGGCATTGCAGAAGAGAAATAATCCATGGCAAGGCAGGCAGGAGGCAGCATAGTGAAGCAGCAAGTCTGCTTTTCCCTTTTATCCCATCCAGGGTATAAGCCTTTTGGGTGGTGCCACCCGCACCAATGGTGGGGCTTCTGTCTTCTGTAAATCCATTCAGCCACACCCAGAACTCTGCTAATCCCAATTAGTGGATTAATTTAGTACCACACACCCTTGATCCAAGTATCCCACACCTTACAGCCAGCCAGCTCCAAAGAGCCCCACCTGTGAGGGCATGAGGCTTTGGGGGACATCTAGATCTAAGCCACAGTACCCTCCCTTTAGGACTTCTGTGAGTAACAACATATTGTATTGTTGAAAATATGTAAGAGAGTAGACTTTAAGTGCTCTCACTACCAAAAAATATATAAGGTTATATATATGTTAAATACCTTGAACTAGCCAATCAATAATGTATACATATTTCAAAACATCATATTGTATGTGACGTATATATGTGTATATATATAAAGTCTAATTAATTAAAAAGTTGTAAAACATGCCCTCAATGTCATTGCTGAGCCTAGTCCATTTCGTGATACTAAAGAATGAACCCAGAGCCTCATGCATAATAGACAATCACTTTGCCAACAAGCTTTACCTCCAGCCCTCTTTATATACTTTTAATTCTTTTTTCATCTTTTAAGACAGTGTCTTCCTATGTGGTTCAGGCTGGCCTTGAACTCACTCTGTAGTCCAAACTGGCTTCGAACTCATTGCAATCATCCTGCCTCAGCCTCCTGATGTTGGGATTACAGACATGCCCCACCACAGCTGACCTATTTTTTAAAATTTTGAAACAGAGTCTCCCTAAAGTGTACAGGCTAACCTACAACTTGCAATCCTCCTGCTTCAGTGTCTGGAGTAGCAGGATTACAGGCTTGCACCATCATGCCTGGCTTGCCTCCACCTTTAGACTAAAGCTTTGATAAAAATTATGTATGTATTCTGTTATCTTTCTTGGTGCCAATCCTCTCCTCTCTGATTTCCTTTTTTTTTTTTTCATATTCCCTTTATAGGAGAGAAGCCTTATAAATGCACCTGGGATGGATGCACCTGGAAATTTGCTCGCTCAGATGAGCTCACCCGCCATTTCCGTAAGCACACAGGCATCAAACCCTTCCAGTGCACAGACTGCAACCGCAGCTTTTCTCGCTCTGACCACCTGTCACTGCACCGCCGACGCCATGACACCATGTGATTATCACAGGACACTCCAGAGGAGCTGTGCTGGTTTGTTTCCTGTGTATGTGTTGAAGTCACAACCATATTTTCCTCTTTGACTTCAACGTGCCTCTAGAATGGGGTTGGAGCAGCCTACTGAGCCAGGTTGAGGAGACCAGAGAAAAAGATAGCTGACCTCACATGGGACCCTTTTTATTCCATCTTCACCTCTCCTCTATCTAGACTTAACTTTTTTCAACCTCTGCATGGGTTGAATTCTAGTGTGGCACCCATGGCTGCCCCCAACCCCAATCACTCCTCCTCTGAAACAGACATTCTTCCTACAATAACAAAACAGGAATCAAACTCAAGGCTGTGAACAAACATATGCTGCTTCCTTCTCCCTTTGTTTTACTCGTTTTCTAGAGTGAATGAATATACATATATATTCAAATACATATATATAATATATATATAATATATATATATGATAGTGTCCTAATATGATTTTTTCAATTCCTAGATGGAGGAGGCATAACAATATATTTAATCAGTATATTTACAGAGATTTGGAACCTAATGATAGGGCACATTATCAGTGAATAAGGTGAGCCTTATATCAAATTTAAAAGTTTTGTAAATTCAATCATATTTCTACTTATGTTTTGGTTTTCAGACAGTGCTGGTGCTTCTTTTTAAGTCCATCAAAGGGAATAAAGAAATCTTATATTTCTCTTCCTTCTCCAGCTCCTTTAAGATTACAGATTTCATGGCACAGTTATATTCTTTGTTAGATTAAATTTGGGCAAATATTCAAAGTACACAAAGACAGGTATGGAAGGGACAAAAGTGTTGGAGAAAGATATGTCAGGCAGTAACAAGAACAAGCAGACATGGAATGATCCTGAGAATGAGTAAAAGGTGAGTTTCATTTGGAATCGATATCAAAAGTGTTGTTAATCACAAACCTCATTTGAATGACAGCCTTTTGCGATAATTATCTTGAAGGATTGCACCATACTGTTTTTTCCTTAGTTTACTTAAAGCAACTTTGGTCTATTGTATGATGAGGAATCACACACAGAGGCCATACCATATAGAGATGAGGTGTTGGGAGAAAGGAATTGTGTTCACTTGATGGCATTATTGGCCCTCATTCCTGTGTTTTGAATGGAAAATAAGAGGCTTTTGGTAAAAATTAACTTACAAAAAGAAGTTTGAAGTTTTATAACTACTATGAACACCTAAGCCATTTCTTTCAGCCATTATGGCAGGTTGGATAATATACACATTTGGTTTCCCAATCAGACTGTTTCATAATATTCTCTGGGCCATAAATCCTGTTTCTCTCCCTGAACCTCAGATCTACCTCCACAAGACATATTTCCTTTTCCAGGACTAAGGGAGTGGGGCACTGTAACAATATAGTAAACACAGCCTATCTCCTAAAGATTGTCTTCTTATTGAACCCTTTTTCCTTGGCAGATATTTAACCAGTCCCTGCCTGAATACTTTAGGTTACTACCTCTTGAGGATGTCCATGTTAAATAAACCATAGAATTCTAGCATCACAAAGGAATTTTATTAGTTGTTTAGTCCTACCCATGTCTCATATTTAACAGATACGGGTCAAATTCTGCAAATGATTTCCTGAGGCCTTATGGATCTGCACACTCATTCTCCCAGGGACTACACTATTATAACAAATTAAAGAAAATTTTATGTGATGGGCTGTAATATTTATCCAATTTTATGCTATCTTTCAAAAACCTTTAGACTACTCAAAAATCATTTACAGTTGATTACATAGTAAGTAAAATGTGTTTATAGTTACTGCCATATAACATACGCACAATTTTTCTATTCTCACACTTTTGTAATACGTAGATTTTATTTACCTTATTTCAATTTTTAATATCTTTCCATACCATAAACCCTCTATAAACATAAGGACTACTTATATTTTTTGAAATAGTGTCTAGGCTTTTACTATTAATATTGTTGTTCTGATATGGGGTTTTTCCTGACTTTTGATGTACAAGTGCAAAGCTATATACTAATTGCTAAAGTATTAAGAAATATTTAGGGCCAATGTGCTATTGGGAACTTCTAGGTAGCTATCAAACAGACTGGAAAAGGATTACAATCATACATACATTCAAGCTTTATAACTGAGTAGCTGGTACAGTATTTCAAAGCGAAAAGGTTTAACTTTTTCCTCCATGGTTTGGATACTAAAATTCCTTATCTAGAGCTCAGAACTGATCTGTGCCCGTCACACCTCAAGAGATTTTGTGTTGGGCATATGCTCTATTTATAAGTAATTAAGATGATTAAATAAGTATCTCAAATATTGCTGTCCCTGACCTACCTGAGCGTTTATTTAAAATTTTTTTCTGCAAGGTATTGAGAGACTGCTTTGTTAATTAGCTACAGTCAAAAAGCAATTTGAACTATTTTTATTGTCCTCTTTCCCTGCCACTCCAATAAAATCTTTTGAATTATTTAGTATACTTTAAGAAATGTGTCAGAATTCATTAAAAGGATTTCATAGAATACATGGATTCAAATACAGTGCTAACTGCAAAGTTACAGCATCAGAAATATGTAAAGATTTGCTAGCTATATGGTGAGGTGGAAAGGAACTAAAATGTATCTCACTTAGGTAGCATTTTGGGTTTCATTAAATTTGGTGTATTCATACCAACAAAGCACTATTAGTTAACAGTTGCCTAAGACATACAGATGGCCTTATTTAATAGGGTAGCATAATGTTGTGGGATTTGTTGTAGTGAAATTCCTCCATCTGTAGATTATTGGCAATTGAACATAACTATTTATAATTGTGATTGTAAAATTTAAGAAAAACTATAAGGAATATGAACTTGTAGGGTAGATTATGTGGAGTGTTTTATGAATAAAATACAAAGGTTGGTGTCATGAACGTCTTTTAAAATAAACTTCACATTTTGAAACATTTTCAGATTTACAGAAAAATTGTGAAGATAGTATAGAAAATTTCCATATATTCTGCATCTATTTTCCTGTGTTATTAACATTTTACACTATTATACATTTGTTATAAGTAATGAAACAATATTGATACATTAATATTAATTGCAGTCCATACTTTATCCAGATTGATGTAGTTTTTACCTAATATCCTTTTTCTATTTTAGCATCCTACCAGTATTCAAGATACCACATTACACTGAGCAATCATATTTTCTTAGGCTTCTTTTCGTTCTGACAGTTTCTCAGATTTCCTTTGTTTTCAATTACTTTGGAAGTATTGAAAAGTATGTTGTTCAGTGTGGATTTACCTACTGTTATTCCCATGAAGAGACTGGGGTAATGGGTTTTGGGGAAGAAAATCACAGGATAAAGTGCTATATTTTCATTATATGATATTTACATGACATCACTCTTGTTAACCTTGAGCACTTGGCAAAGATAGCATTTATAAGCTTTTTCATATGTACTCTTTTTCCCCCTTTAATACTGTACTCTTTGAAAGGAGGTCACCATATACAATCCACACGTAAAGTGTAGTAAGTTATTCAACACATTCTTGCAAATATCTCTATAAACTATTTGCAATTATTCTACATAGGAGAGTTGTCTCTTATTCATTTATTTATTCATAAAATCATTTATTTATACCAACATGAACTCATAGATGTTTATTTTATTTTGAGGTTATAATTCCCTGCTACTTTAATTATTTTACTGCCTAAATTGTTCTTGCTTTGGTCAATGGGAGCTCTTTTATGTTGACTTCCAAGTCTTTTTGACATACCACCCTCATTTATTAGCATGTCCTTACTTTCTGACACTACAAGATGTCCAGGATCACTTTGTGTCCCTATAATAAGCCTTTTTAAAAGGAGTCTTGGTTATATTTACTGTTGAATTTTACTAGAAACTAAAATCTGGGGACCAGATAGGTTTGTTGTTACTGAGGTATTGTTGTATGAAGGCCTTTTCAGCTGACAGGGCAAAGAAATATATCTGTGTATACTAAGGTGATCATCCATATATTTTAGCTGTATATGAATGCATATTGATGTCTTCAACTCTAATCCACATGAATCAGTCTACCTTCTCCCTCTTACATATCTATAATCTTTCATTCCAATGGTGAGAGACATGCATGCCACTTTCTGCCATCTATTTGATTGATCTTTTGATTCCAGCATATAAATATATGATATCTTACTTGTCATCCTGTATACTCATGGTAAACAACTTTATAAACTAGAACTGAGTGCTTATGTATATGACAGTAATATTTTTTTTGAACTCCAAAAGCTCTTGAAACAAAGTGGACAGCAAAGTTCTGGAGTCAGAAATTTCTGTGATCTCGATACCCAAAATCTGGGATCTACCTTGTCCTAAAAAAGACAAATCATTAGGAATTTTCTAACCTTGAATAAACCAAGGGAATGTATTGATATTCCACAGTGTGCTAAATCCTATATGAGGTACTAGGGAGGAATGGACACAAAAGAAACTGAATGGGCCCAGTTTAAAGAAATCTTGGCATTACCTTTTTTCACTACTAGATATGGCTCTTTGACAACAGGAGTGTTATCCTGAGTTGCCTCTTTTCCATATTTTCCTCATTCTTCTACATGGTTGCACTTAGGTAAGTTATATCAGTTCTTTGTGCTTCAGTTAACTCATCTGAAAATGGGTAAACAAATATCTACCTCACAAAAATGCTATGAGAGTCTTCATTATAGATGTTGGCAAAAATGATAAAAGATCTTTAAATGAACAATAATTAATTATAATCATTGCTATCATGGTAATTGTAATATTATATATTTACTCTATGAAAAGGAGAGGATTAGGCCTTTCAGATAATTAGAGCTAAATTTGAATTAGTAACAAAAGTAATTGAAGTCAGGACTGGTGGCACAGGTGGTAATTCCAGAACTCTAAGATACTGAGGTAGGAGGGTCACAAGCACAAGCCCAGCCTGGGCAAGTTAGAGAGATCCCATCTCAGAAGAAGACAAAACTTAGAAATGAGCTGGGAATGCAGTGAAGGAGCTGCATTCAATCTCCACTACTTAAAAAACAGAGAAAGAAAGGTCACTGAAAGTAATGTTTCTTCTCTTACTCTTGCCTTCCCTACATTCTCTTTGTTACTAACTATAGTATTATCATATTTAGTGCTTTCAATACCTAAAAGAATAGCTGGCCAAAATCCATTGTTTTAAAACTATTTTTCCCCTTTATCTTGCTATCTGGACCACATTACATGTCATCTTGTCAGAAGCATATACATTGTGATCGCATTCATCATTGGGAATTTGTACTTCTACATTATATATCTTGGTTCTTTTTTCCCATTTCCCTTCTTTCCCTTCCACCCCTCCACCCTCGAACTAGGAAGAAAAGGTTCAAAAAAGCAAATTGATTTTCACCAGATATATTTTCTCTTTCTCCACTTACTATACTCTGAACAGTAGGAAGGAAGTGTGGTGAAGTGTGTTTGAAGTTGGAGTGGGCTGGAAGAGGATAGTATGTATAGCAGTGGCAGGACATTTCTTCATTTTTCAAACACTGTTTTCAATTTCCTTTTTGGGTTGTGGGTTGAGGGCAAGGCAAGAGATAATATTTCATCAATTTTTAAGCTTCCCTTCTCGTAGATGTTTCCTAGGGTCAGTACAAGTAGAACAGTGCTGTTTTCATTGTATAAAATAAAAAAGGAGAAGAAAATTCCTAGTGGTATTCATGCTCGTTTTTTAAATGGAAGTTTACCACAGAAGAGCAGTGTCAGAAGCTGTCTCACTCTCTCTAGTTTTGGGGAAAGAAGTTTGCAGTGAAAGAATTGATTCAATTTTTGTCATTGTTAATTTAATTATAAAAGAGTATAGTAAACTTTAGTCTATATCATTCTTATATTTGTGCCTCATTGTTTTAATGCTTTAGAGTAGCACCTTTTATTTCCTCGATTTTATACTAATTCCTGCTCCAGAGGCATGGTTTTGAGCAATCTCTTAAAAATGTCTGTCTTGCACCTGAAGAGCTTCAAGAATTGCTTCAGTTAGCATGGCCACTTAAGAGGTTACTCTGTGCTAGCTCAGAGGAACTCTCCCAATGTATCCCAATATATCCAGGCAGGATATATGCTTGGTTACTAAGAAATTTGTTCAGTTTGACTAGTGTGCTTTTTTATTAAAAAAATATTTTTAATTTCAAACACCATGGCTATTATCTTAAATTTGTCTCCAAATTGTTTCAACATACCTCTTGTTAGTCATTTTTTCTTTCCCTTTAGTTGGGTAAAGTTGTGATGAAATTACTCTCTAATATTATATGGTGACAAAAGAAGTTGAGCTGTTTCAAACAATAGTTTCTTTATGCATGTTGGGCATTCCTTGTTCTTGGTAATATATTCAGCTATATCCGTGCATGAGGCTCCATGAAGACTGTATGCTCCTTTTTTATATTTCTATAAATGACCCCACTGAAGTTTGTGGGTTATAAACTCAATTGGCTAGGTTTCTCTATCAAGCCCTCTTCCTCACTATTTTAGTCTTCTTCCTAGGAAGAAAGGAGAGAGAGAAGAAGGTACTGTGGCAACTTTGAATCCAATGAAATACCAGTACAAATACCAGCCCTGAGTAGATTTTCATTACAAATGATAAAAATTATGAATCTCAGAGTTTATAGATTTCCCAGCAATATCCAAGAAAATTATGATGAAACCAACATTGGGAGGCCATTAAGGAAGCAAGATTTATGCACAATTCAAACTGTTGCCTAGAAATGTGAACATTGGTCAAATCAAAACTTTGACCACAGGCATCTGGAATGACCAGACTGACTGAACAAGTATTTTGGGCTCAGTGGCTCAAGATTATTGATCTCCCATTTTGTGGACATTTCCATTGTATGTATACATTCTATGTCTTTTTTCAGTCATGTAGCCCCTGTTCTTTTTCAACATCCAATAGCCCATATAAGTTCTCATTTTTTCTGCCTTGTACTAGATATTAATTCAGTGATTTCTGAGCCTTTGTCTCCAAAATTTCTATTTGTAAGAACCCATACAAATTCTTTTTTTACTTTAGCGATTTCTGAGTTTAGATTGTCATTGCACTGTGTCAAAAGTGAGACTTAAAATAATTCATATCTACATGTGGTGCTGTCACAGACATGAATAAATGTACCTACAGGAGCTATTTTGTGCACCATCATCTTCTTGACAATTTCAGATAATAGGGGTAAACCCTCTCTGTTTCTTAACCTCCTGTGTTTTTGGTTGATGTTTCAAAATTTTATTTTGGTGTCATTTGTTGCTGGCTGTCTAGGAGGGATATTCCTCCCTTAGTTACACAGAAGGAATATTTTCATCTAGGTGATTACTCAGATTTTTGGGAGCAGTAAATAAAGCATGCATCAAATATTGAAAGAATAATGACAATATATATGCCCATATATCCACTACTCAGATTGGAAACAGGACATTCATTGCTCAGTCCTCCAGAAACATCCAGGTACCAATCACTTACCACATTCCCCTTGTTTTCTCTGAAGGTAACTTCTATCCTATTTTCAGTGATGATCATTTTCTTTATTTCTTAAAAGGTTAATATTTATCATAGAAAAATGCAAACCTAAATAATAATTTACCTTTGCCTGTTTTTGAACTTTAAATAAATATAATTTTATTGTACTTATTAATTTGTGCTTTGATTACTTTACTCAGAATTTTGACTGTGAAATTCATCCATGTAAATATTTGTAACTACAGTACTTTTGTTTCCATTGTGCTGAGATATTCCACTATATATATAAACAATTATTATATTATATTTATAATATATTTATCCAATATTATATTTATCCATTCAAGCTCCAAAATTCTCTTATATTGCTACAGCTTAGGATATTATACTTAGAGAAACAAAACTCTGATGAATGTTTTTTTTTAAATATCTCCTGTACAAGTGTAAAAATTTACCTAAGCAAAATATCTAGGGATGGAATTGCTTGTATATAGAGCATTTGCTTTTTAAATTTGGGTAGATAAAGCAAACTTTTTCTATGCATTTGTTCCAATTTATGTGTTCATCTGTAATGTATAAGTGATTAAATTACCCTACATCTGTGGTAATATATAATATAGTCTTAAATTTTTTGAACTTCTAGAGAAGCAATCCAAGGACTCATATGTGCTAGGCAAGATCTACCACTTAACTATACTTCTAGAAGAGTGGATTTTTTTAAAATACAAAATTGTTGTACAGGGTATTTTATGGCTTTCTTCAGCATTTTCTTCATTACTAGTGAAATGAGATATTTTTCATATATTTATTGACTTTTTAGATAACTTCTACTGAAGTATCTATTGAAGTCAATAGTGGAGGCTACTACATGTCTCCCAGACACCACATTCTGGGAAAGAAACACTCATGTTAAAGTTACTGGAAATGTTTGAAGCATACATATCTCAGCTTAATTACTCCCCAGAATGGACTTGCTGAAATTTAAAAACCCATTTTAGCATCAGCCTGAGTCCAGTAGCTACTTGATTTGGATTTATAAAGGCTTAGACCATGGCCCGATTTGGGACATCTTTGAAAAGTCATTGGATTAGTCAGAACACTCATGATCTGAAGAGGTGTAACTGAAATGCAGTTCCACATTTTCTTCTGTCTCCTACAGGTTCCTTCATATCCTTGTAGGTTTTGATCCAGACAGCATGTCCCAGTACATTCCATATATTATTATCTAAGATAAATACAATTCTACTTTCAACGTCAGACATTAATTCCACCTGAAACTAATTTTATATATTATGAGAGGTAGGAGTCTTATATTATTTCTTTTTACTTGTATCAAATGATCATGTAAGCATTATTTATGGAAACATCCATCATTTTTTCACCAACAATACTATTTCTATGATATTAAATATTGCAAGTATCTATTTGGGGACTTCAATTTCTGTCCCAATATCTCAAACCCTGTTACTTATAAATTTATGATAGGCCTTGATACCTTATTGGGAAAATATTGTAATCATTTATTTTATTCTTTAAATCATTAATTGAGTGGGTTATAATTTTTATTTTCTCACATTGAGCCACATTTCCATGTATAGAATGAACTCAACTCAATCAAAATATGTTAGCCTTTATAAACATTTTCAATTTGAAACCTCTTTTACTGGTTTCAATTCTTTTTTCTTTCAATATTGAGACATAATATTAGTACATCTTCTGGGGTACATTATGATAATTCAATATATGTATAAAATGAGCAATAACCAAATCAGAGTAATAAGGACTTCTATCTGAAACATTAATCAACTTTGTGTTTTGGAAATTTTCTAGTCATTTTGAAATATATCAGAGATAAATATATCACAGACTTTTTAAAATTTCCAGTTACCTATAGTTACCCTAATATGCTAAAAAGAACAAGAATAATTCTTTTACTCCCACTGCTTTTGGTGCCACTTTAAAAACTTCTTTTCTACTAACACTGAATATAAATAACTGAAGTTCTCCAAATAAAAGATGCAGACTGGGGTACTGGATTTTTAAAACTTCAACTATACCTTGACCAAAAGAAACACACTTCTGTCAAAAACGTACAGATTGAAAGTGAAACGTTGGAAAAGCTTTCCATGCAAATGTAATCTGAAACCAAGTAAAGATAGCTTCAATCATATCTGACAAAGCATACTTTAAGCCAGAGTTGGCAAACCTTTTAGAGACAAGTGCCCAAACTGCAACCCAAAAGTCACTTATATCTTACAAAGTGCCAACACTGCAATTAAACCTGAATACTGGGGTTTTAGTTTAGAAAAAAAAAAAACAACTCATACATTAACATCTTTTTTATTAGAAAAACAACATGCATGCCATTGGTTTGCCACTAATGCAAAGTTTAAGCTAAAATTGGTAAAGAAAACACTAACATCACTACAAATTGAAAAAGAGAACAATCCACTAAGAAGATATAGTAGCAATGTACCCAAGTGTAGCACACCCAAATTAATGAAATGGACACGACTCAACATAAAGGGAGAGACATATTCAAACACAAGAATAGTGGATGAGTTAAATACCTAATTCTCACAATTAGGTGAACAAGGAAAAAACAGCTACACCATAGATCAAGTGGACTTATGTACCTATACAGACTCTTCTATCAAATAATAGAATACTCTTTCTGTTCATCAGCTCATGGCACGTTCTTCAAAATAGATTGTATTTTAAGACATAGAGTGTGTCTTACCAAATAGAAAAAATAATGTTCTGTATCTTATCAGATAATAATGGAATGAAACTAGAAATTAAAAATAAAACCACAGCAACTATACGAACACATAGAGATTAAATAATACAGTTTTGAAATTTTGGGGTCATTGAAATCAGTGGAGAATCTCAAAAATCCTAAAATCAAATGAAAATGAAAATCCAACATATCAGAATCTGTGGGACCCAGGAATAGCAGTTATAATAAGATTAATAATTATGAGAGGCTACATTAGAGAATCAGAACAGCTGGTTTTATTCATGACATAGAATAATTGTTTAACATGTAAATCAATAAAGTTAATACACCACATAAGTAGAATTGAGCATAAAAATCATAATGATCATATCAGTAGACAGCATCTATGGCAGAACGGTCTATTAGAAGTTGGAATCCAGTTAGAGGAAGTAGGTCACTGGGGGTGGGCCTTTGAAAAGTTGTTATAGTCTCCAGCTGCCTCCCCATTCTGTTTCTTTCCATCTCATTCTGCTTCTTATCTGCCATGAAGTGAGCAAACCTGTATTAGCATTAGGCTGGGGTGTTGGATAATCTTAGCAAGCCTGAAGTAAGATTTGGCTGTGTGCTAGTTCTGGTAATTTTAAATCCACAGAAGTTCCAGCTGAGTCTGTGCTATGACTCACACGGCATAGGGGCCAGAGCCAAGGACAACAGTGGGAGATGAAGAAAATGGAAAAATACCAAGAAAGAAGGATACATACCAAGATTATGCTTGACAGCTGGGACCAGGTGGACCCATAGCCTGTTGAGCTAATGGATGCCTAAAGTCCAGTGCACTCTTTATTTATAGTGTAAGACAAACAGGAAGGGGGGGGGTTAACTTGTGCTACATGGCCTATGTGGCCTAAGCTGAATGTAGCTTGATTGTCTCATGATCAGGGCATGCACAGAAAGGGAACAAGGAAGAAGGATACATAATGTAACTGTCTCCTGGGGATGTGCCATCCAGGGCCTACAATTTAAGTGAAACAGACACCTATCTAGTCTATAGAGGAGAAAGGGAGTAGGGATTAGGTGAAAGGCCATCTTCAGGCTCGGTCCATGGGAATTCTGGCCTCTGGTCATGGGGTTGTGGCCTGAGTCATCTAGCTTTTAACACTCTTGGTTTTTTGCCAACCTGACTACAGCTTCCTGACCCTGGATGTCTCCTGTGGTTGTTTGTCAACCAATCACTGTGGGTTTTTAACACTGGGAGCCCTGAGATGATACCATCTCATGGAAGCTAACAGTCTGGGGTTCAGTTGGCCACTCCCTAAAATGCTGATCTCTCCAGGGAACACTGCACTTTCTTGGACTGGAGTCACTCACCAGTTAATGTAACACAGTATCCACTTCTCTGTTCTATTCCATTGGTGTGTTTCTCTCTCTGGAGGCCCCTGGAGTCACTCACTTCCACTTTCATTGTGTCTGTGTAGATTCAAGCTTCCTTTGTCATGACAGGAACTGGGGAGGAGGTGCAGATTACTGCTTCATTTTTCTATGTTGAGATCTGTCTCTTCACTATATCCATAGTCTCCAGTTTTACTTTCAGATCCTTCTTGGGTCCTAGGGATCTACCTCCCTTCTTCTTTTCTTCCCCAAGTTGTTATTTTATAGGAAGACAGCATGGGTTCATGCTCGTCAAATGGAGGACCTTTTAAAAATATGAAAGGACCATGGAAATTCAATGAAACAGCTGCTAGATCATACAAGGAAGACTAATAAAAGATTAATTGGAGTCAATGAAGAATTGGAAGATGACACAAAGTGCATTTAAAAATCTGTTCATAAGAGTAATAGCAGAAAACTTTCCAAGCATGGAAAAAGAACTTGATATACAGAAAAGTGAGGCATATAGAACTTGGAATAGTCATGATGAAGAACAAAACTACACCAAGGCATATAATAACCAAGATTCCAGAAATTCAACACAAGAACAGAATACCAAAAGCTGTTAGAGTAAAGAAACAAATCATCTTTAAATGAAAACCCATCAGAATCACAGTAGATTTCTAAATCCTTATGTCAAGGAAAGCTTGGAGTGAAATATTTTATGCTTTTTAAAAAAACAACCTCAAACCCAGATTGATGTATCCAAAACAATTATCTTTCAAAATTGATGGAGAAATAAGATACTTCCACGACAATAACTAAAAAAATTCAAGACCACCAAAATAGCACTCCAAAAAGATCTGAAAGATATTCTAGAAAAAGAGAATGAAAACAACAATTCCAAGAATCTCAATAGAATGAGTCCACCAGGCAAGACAAGCAATTAAACACAAGGGAAAGAAAAGGAATCCACAATAGAAAAATAATATAATATGGATAAGTCAATACTCATCAGTTATAACCATCAATGTGAATGATCTCAACTAACTGATCAAAAAAAAAAAAAAAAGAACTGATTGGCAGAATGGATTAAGAAAAAAGACCCAACAATATATTGAATACAAAAACCACATATACCCAAAAAGAAATTAATGAATTGGAATTTAAAGGAAGAAAAACAATAAATACTCCAC